CATCGCATCTGTTATTGAGAAATGATGCCGATGCCGAGTTGACTACATGGCGTAGATTTGCTGGCATGACTGCGCGATTTTGCCCAGCAGGTATGCGGATTTGTATATTCTTGCATATATTAACTAATTAATTCGTCAGGATAGTGTCTTTCTAATTATAGGCCTTCTTTAATTATCTTAATTATTGGCTTTATCGTACGGTGGCGATAACAATCAGCTGTGGGGAAAGCAAAAAAATTATGCATGCTATAAGAAACATTATTAAGGAAAATATTAATTGTGTATCAAAGGGTAAATTTGAAAAATTTTTATATATTAAAGATTTGCCAAAGCTAGATTTGTTAATTTGCACTGAAAAAAAAGGTTAAATAATTTTTTATTATTGCAGGCAGCTTGTGTGAATTGCATTTTTGTGATACTTTGTGGCCTGATTTTTCTTACCACAATTTGAGCCAACCATTAGAATATGCAAAAAGGGAAAAGAGATGTGGCAAATAACAATTTTCTAGTCAGAGTGCTATCTTCAATAACATTATTACTTGTCTTCTCTTTTGCTATATATTTCAGTGGTTTATCGTCTTACTCACTGATTTTTAGGTAGCAGTTCATCTTCTTTTGACCAAGGAAAACAGGATCTTATATATTTTCACATTATTATTAATTGCATTACCAAATGCTTAATATAGTTTTACAATCTATCAAAAGGAAAATACACATTAGTACGGCTTATCTTAACCTGGAAAAACTTGGTCAGGACTTTTTGGTGCAATCTTAACATTATAGTTGTGTTATAAAATATTCAATACCTTCACATAATTATAAAGAAAATGAGGCTGATAATATTTTACTGTTTTGTATCTTCTATTTTCATCCTAGAATAACTTAGTATGTTTTTGTTTGGTAACTGGTTAAGTTCATTTTAGATGTTTAGATATTGGAAAATGATGCAGAATTATTTTATTTAATCCACGTTTTTCCCTGTTTTCCATTCTCTGAATTTTAAAGAGTAATAATTGAAATATGTAAACATATCGTAAATCATAGGAAGCAGTGCTATGGTTCTAACTCAATTTAAGCGATTTAAACTCCTGATGCCGTGATTGACGGAAGATGTTTAAATAATAATGAAAGCAACAATCTTATTTTTAGTCGCTGCTACGATTTATTTTTATATTATTGCACTGTTTAGGTGTTTACGAATATGTACCATGCGAAACCAATGCTGATACCAGAAGACTTCAAATAAATTTCCAAAATTGTATTCACTGCAAAACATGTGACATCAAAGAACCACGTAACAATATTCAGTGGGTTGCACCAGAAGGTAAATTTGGATGTATTGAATTTAAAAGTTTCTGCAGATCAGCATCTAAAAATGTACTGTTCAAAAAAAAAGCACTTAAATTCATTACTGATCGAAATGGTTAGTACTATACATTATTTGTCACTTTTTGGACTTTTTTTATTGATTAGTACATAGAATCCTGCAAAAATTCTATGTATTATTATTGTTATCCCAAGATTTTATTGTAATGAGATTTGATGCATCAAACTCATGGTTGAGAATAGCGATTTTTATGCAAAGAACATTCCTAAAACTAACTGAAAGTCGTTTAAGCCTTCTCAATTTCTCTTTCGGACTTGTAATTTACCACTTGTTATGGGCAAATGCTTGGCAGAAATAAACAGCTTGTAATAACACATGGTGAGAAAATATTTGGACCTTCTGAGCCATGTAAAGATAATAAGTATTGTTTATTTATAAAAATGATAAGTATTCGATAGCTAGAAGTCAATTAAATTTTTAGAAAGTGAAGATTTAAAGAATTGTTACAACTTGTTGGTCGGGATATGCAGAACTAATTTCTTTCTAATTTACAGGAGGCAATGGTCCGAAGTACAATGGGATGTAGTGATCAGAACGATTAGACTGCTCGCTTAGCTATTGCGGCTAAAATATTTCAATTTTATTTTGGAAGAGATCGAACACAGTTTTATGGATCAATCTGTGTTTCGGTGCTTTTACTCTTTTTAGGTTAAATTTGATTGAATGTGATATATTTTGTTATATGCTATTGATACAGTCTTTCATTATTGAATTTTGTTAGCCTCTAATTATGCCTTTTTCTACATAGCATGCAGGAACTTCCGAATGTAATAAATCTAATCTTTCGAGTCTATAATTTTTTCACGATTGAGGTGCAGTGAGCCAATTTTTTAGATTTGGAAATTTTTCCATAGAAATAAAGTTAAACTTAATTTTATGATTCTAGAACAGTAGATTGGGAATAACAAAACATTCTTACAGGAATCATATTTTTTGCTTGACTGGTATTTCACTATCTGAATTGTTGGCTGCAAACTTCAATTTGTAAACTTAAAATTTATTATATTTGTGATAACTATCAGCATTATGGAATTTTTCTGTTCTTGAAGTATATTTCCCGGTCTATAATGAAAATTATTTAGCTTCAAGCATTGTTTTTGTTATATTTGTGAAATTATTTTGCATATCCACGAATTGAAAAGTAAAGTTATTAATTTTAAAGTTATTAATTTATCTCTGGAAGCATCTAAGAAGGAATCATTTATGAGCAAGCAATATAATAGATTTTAAGAACGATATAAAATTTGTGAATATTAGACATTTGCTTATCTTTTGAAATCTTGTTAGTTATTAATGACAATCAATCAGATGTTATTCTTTTTAATTTAGTATCATCAATAAGTTCAAAGAAAGCTATCTTGGTGGTGAATTAAAATTTCACATGTATTAGTTGAAAGAGAAAAATTAGGAAGGTAGGTAGGACTAAGTTTCATAAACTCGAACTTTTTTTTTCTCCCAGGAATAATGTACTGTCTCTTAGGATTGATATGTTGTCGGATGATTTCCAAACAATCACGGTACTCTCAACCATTTCCCTTCCTGTATTATTCTTACAATTCTTACAGTTAATAGTGTGAACTCATTCATGAAACATTAATTATAATTGATAGCTCATTATAAAGGCGTAATATCATCATGTCTAGTTGAAATCAGTTCAGGAAATTGAATGAATGCATTGAAATTGAAGAAAAAGGAAAAAAAAAACAAAGTAATGTTCCATTGGTGAGATCGTACCATCGGAGTAACATTTTATACTTTTTCTTCAATATTTCTTTTTTATCATTTTTACTAAAATAAAGGAAAATTTGCTAAAGAACAAAGGATTAAGGTACAACAAATATACAAAATATCAAAATTATCATTTACCGATCGATAATGTAGCTAATATTTGAAACGATCACAATTACAAATGTTGTTTTCATGGCTTTTGTCTTTTTTTTTTGTTTTCATCCAGTCAACTTGCAATTGCTACTTTACGTGATTTATAAAGAATTAAACTTCGACTAGTATGGAATAAAAGAGTTAGTAAAATGATGCATTGATTGCTACAGGTTGTCCACATTTTCATGGTGCAGAAATTAGCTTGAATAACTTGAATAATTAATTTGAATGATTAATATTTCAGATTTAAAAGATAAATGTGAAATCGCTGGGGAAAGTTTAGCATTCATCAATTCGTATTTGCATGATAATTCGTTTGCTAATTTTTTCCAGGGACTGAATTGTAGGATGCTATTTTCAACGCAATTATATATATACCTAATTTAAAACTTATGCAGTTAATTCAGTATTGTATCAGAAATTCTGTTCAGCTTATATTTTATGTTTTTTTTTTAGTAAAAATATCATATAATTTTTGATTAGAGAGGAAAGATAATTTTTTTTTTATTACAAACAGAAATGAGATGTGAAGAAATATTGGAAATTTATCAGAGATAAATAATTGCTCTTCGGAATTTCCTCTGAAAGCCTTAATTTTCAATTGAATTTGAAACTGACTGAAAAAGCAGAGAAAGCGCTTTAAAAGCAGCTAATTAAGATCGAAGATTTGATTGCCAATATTACTTAATTCTTGTCGAATTACTCACTGATTGACATAGCTTCAGTGTTATTAATCTCTTTTGAATAAAATAAAATATGTAATTCTTTGATCAAACATCGAAATTTCATCTTAAAACTTTTGAAATTGAAAATTTTGAGAATGAAAATTTGAAATGATGAAATTCATTAATTCAAATTACGAAGCTTTCAGCAATTCGGGTTTCAAAATTGTTCTCAGAAAGATGCTTTTTTTTCTGTAGAATTACAGGAAATCGACTTTTGCAAAATTTTATAAAAATCCAATTAAATATAAACAGTCATTTAAAGTAAACTTATATAAATTTCAAAATATGCTGCGTTTTAACTGACAACAACATTTGATCAAATATAGAAATTTGCACTTTTATCTAATATGATTTTTTTGTGAATTGAAAAGTGATTTTGTGAATTGAAGTTAACCGGTTTGGATAAATAATTTGTATAATATGCATGCAAAAAAGTGATTGAATTTGTTTATTGACATTTTTTAATGAATCAAATTTTGACCAATCAGATATTAATTGATCGAGCACAAGAAAGCATTGCGAAAAGTTGTTTTGGTAATATTTAAATGAAAGGTACTAATTTATTTCTTGTCAAATGTTGCATGATCAATGGTACCATCGCCAAACTTATTCTAATTTATTTTTCTTTGTTCACATGAGAATGATTTTACAACATATGTAAAATCATTATCACGTAAACAAAAAAAGCATGATAAGCAATTGCCATCGCATGAAAATTAGAAATTTCCCAGATTTTAACCATTTTTTTTTCTTACTTCGCACCATCTTTTTTACCTCATTATTTTCCAAATTTTAGTTAGACTTTTCAAATGCTTAAGAAATCTGGATTTTTTTGCAATCATTAAAATTTTGACAAACAATCTCTAAAATGTTAAAACTATTTCTTTTAGCTAAACATATGGCATTATTGAAATCATTACTTTCCACAGCATCTACAACAGAAACATTCTACAGCTATTTCATTCCAGTTTATGCCTTCAAGCACAAATTCCTACCATGAGCAAATTAAAATTAATTATTTCAGCATCCACAAATTCAATGCTATTAAGCTAGCAAATTAATCGGAATCAGATTATTAGTTAAAGTATGAAATCTATAAGGATTCATTTTCATCTTTGATGCTTGCTAATTGAAATTGTCTCATCGACTTCGGCTTTTGACAACGAATTTACTACGTATTTATTTACCAGTAGTTTGTTTGAATATATTTCAAATCTTAAAAATCATTCAAATTATCTTTTCGGAATTAGTTCACAACTTTGCCAAAAATACCTATTAATTGTAAATTTCATTGATTGGAATATCAATAATAGATTTTCGAAAAACAAATAAACTATCTATGAAATATGTTTTAAATGTATTGTTTAATACGCGCAACACATATATCAGAAGATATTTGAACCAATAATAATAATTGATTCAAAAAAAAAAAATCGGAAAAAGAAAATGTTGTTAAAATGATTGTAATCAATTAATCAATTGGATTGTATAATAGGAATCTATTTCATAAACACTGCTACTGAGTTAAGTTTGACGTACGATTCCGTGTTATACTAACTTATAGTACTGTTTAGAATAAAATGTAGATTATAACTATTTTGAAATTATTATTCTTTCACAAATCTAATAATCATTTTTTTTTTCTGAATTCCAAATGGTTAGCACATAAAATGATCTTATTTTTTGGCCTTCGATTCATACATTTCATTTCTTTTAGTCATAAATTAAACAGATAATCGGGTCATTCAAAAAAGACAGATCATTGAAATGAATTCTCTCGATGTTATTTTAAAATCGTACAGTGAAATTAAAAAGACAATACTTCTTTTTTTTTTTTTTGACAACGAACAATATCAAGGTGAACGATCGTCCACTGACACCAATAATTTTAACACTCATCTCTCTTTATTAAATTGTAATGATACTTTCAAACTAACTCCTTACAGTTTATAACTCTCTCATCATTCTTCCACCTTCCATTCCCAATTATCAACCTTTATATGAAAGTTTATTTCATTATTTAATAATATTAATCCTCTCCACTTTTTTCTCCCTCCTTCTCATTTCACTCTTTTTCCGCTCTCAAGGAAGAAATCTCACTTAATTTCGTTATAGTATAAGTAATATATTGGCTGGAGAAAAATATTGCACGGAAAAAGTAATATGAATATTTTCAAACGTGACCTGAAATGGAATCCAAATCAGAAGTATGATTTTAAAGCATTAACTTCTTTTCCTTCATTTACTTCCGCTCCTTTTCATTTATTTTATAATATTAAAGGTCTATTAATATGAAGACAGATGATGATAGCAAAAAATTAAAATTAGCCTTAGAATTAGAATTTTTTTTTTTTTATATTAAAAACTACAGTATTAAATTAGAACTAAAATTGAACATTAGCATATATATTGTATTGATCTCGAGAATGAGGAATGCAATTTGGAACAATGAATAGCAATTTTAAATAGTGATTTTTGAATATAACTCAATCGCATTGATAAAGTAATAACTATCATTCTTGAATGTAAATTCTGCAAATATCCTCCTATCATCTTTATTTTAAAAAAATCGTAAATTATCATTTAACGTTATGAAAATTGAAAGTTGGTTCTTATAGTACAGCTTTAACTTAAGCCTAATTGAAAGTTGATTGTTATAGAACAGCTTTAGTTTAAGCCTTCAGACCATATAAAATTTCCATTGTTTATTTTTGACTTCTCTAAGTGATAAATTATTAAGCAAGTGAAAGTTGCTAAATAGTAGGCTTTATTGTCATCTTCCGGCTCATTATTACTTCTTTTTCAAATTGCTAGAATTGAGAGCTCCAAAGAGAAGCTATAATTTTTTATTAACTTTTGCAAAGCTGTTCCATTCTTTCCTGTTTTGAATGTGAACAAATATTTCGAGTTTTTTTAAAGT